CCGCTGCCGCCGCCAGGCCCCGGTCTTCGGGGCAGGGAGGGCAGTCGCCTCCCGAGGGGCAGCAGGGACCCGGCCCCGTCTCGGGTTTGGGTTGGTTCCTCTCCCTTCTTTTTGCTCTTGGGTTTTCCACCGGGCGGGAGGCTGGCCTGGCGTCCCATCCCGGGAGCCTCGCTCTGCCAGCAGGACCCAGCCCGGCCCCTCTGGGGTCCCTTCCCAGGCCCCCAGCCCTCGGCCTCAGGGGTCCACAACCGTGGGGCTTCCGGGCCCTGTCCCCGGGAGGTGGCGGGCACGGCCCGCCCTGGGTCTCCGACGCCCCGTTCTGTTGTGCTTTTCCCTCCCCCCAGCAGAATCATTCTTTGTATGAACAACTCTCTAGTCAGGAAGCAATATCATTTCAGGTCTGCAGAGGAAAGGGACATAGATCTGGTCGAGGGCAAACCCAGTCTCACTGTATAAACCGGCTGCGCAGCCCGGCCCCTCCCGCCTGCCCTGCAGCTGCGGGCCGCTGTTTTCTAATATTTGTATTCTAATTTAATTGTTTTTAAAAAACGCAAATAAAAAAGGTCGAGGTGAAGCCACCAAGGTGTCTGCCATTCTGTGTCCTCCGTCTTAAGGTGTGTCGCCGGCACGAGGCGCCCCGTGGGCTGGGGTCAGGCGCGGAGGACAGATTGCGTCTTTCCTTCGGTTGCCCGAGGTTGGGGATTTAGAAGGCACAGCGCGTCGCCAGCGAGGCAGGTCATGCCTTGAACTGCCAGGGCGTGGTGTCCTGCTGCACTAGGACACTTGGGAGAGGTGGCTCGGCGAGAGGAGGTTGTGCCTGGCTCCCCAGGTGGCTGAGAGGGCACAGGAAGGGCCAACCAGCACGAGAAGTGACGTCAGGGAAACGCGATTCAAATCCAGGCGCAGTGGCGCATGCCTGTGGTCCCTGCCACCAGGAGGCTGAAGTGGGAGGATTGCTTGAGGCCAGAGACCAGCCTGGGCAACATAGCAAGATCCCATCTCTACACAATTTTTTTTAATTAACCAGGTGTGGTGGCACACACCTATAGTCCCAGCTCAAGGATCGCTTGAGCACAGGAGTTGGAGGCTGCAGTGAGCGATGGTGACGCCACGGCACTCCAGCCTGGGAGACAGAGCAGGACCCTGTCTGTAAAACAAATTATTTTTTAAATAATTAAAAATCCACAGTGAGATTCTCCATCACACCCACCAGGATGGCTAGAACAAAAGCCACCCGACAGCAGCTGGCTGTGGAGGAGCGGAGCCACGCTGGCGGCCGCTCGGAGGCCGGGTCTGCGGGAGCGCCTGCTTGCCCGCGCCTAGCTGGCGAGCACGTCGCCCTGCGCAGGCTCGCACACGCGTCCCAGCGGCAGCCTCCACGGGAGTCAGTGTCCCAGCCACCCGGCATGGATAAATAGAATGTGGTCCCGCCACCCAGTGGAGGTTTTTTTCTTATTTTTAGAGACAGGGTCTTGCTGTGTGGTCCCGGCTGGAGTGCAGCTGCGCAGTGGTAGCCTCCAGCAACGCTCCCGTCTCCGAGTGCGAGATCACAGGCATGACACTGTCTGCTCCCTACGCTGGAGCATCACTCGGCCTCGAAGGGGGACGAGCTCTGACACAGGCCACAGCGTGGAGGGACCTTGAGGACATCGTGCTCAGAGACGCCAGACACAGGAGGACACGCGGTGTGTGACTCCGTTTATACGCAATGTCCAGGACAGGCAGAGCCACGGAGACGGGACGTGGATTCGCGGCTGCCAGGGCGAGGGGAGGAGATGGGGGCTGATCACTGATGGATATGGGGCTTCTTTTTTGGGGTGATGGAATGTTCTGGAATTAGATAGTGGTGATGGTGCACAATCCTTTGACTATACTAAACACCACTGAGTGTACAGGGTACGTTTTATGGCCTGTGAACTGCAGCTCGGTTAGAAACGGCAGCTTCTCCCACGTAGCAGGGGGGCCGCGGGGCGCGAGGAGAGGCCCTCGCGGCCCAGCAGGGGCCTGCGCCACCTCTGCCTCTCGGTCCAGAGGCCACGGAACCAAGCCGTGGCTCCCTCAGCCCACTGACGCCGTGGGGCCTCCGGACAGAGGCCTCTGAGCCGCACGGGCCCTGGGTGCGTGGGGGCTCAGGACAGGGGCTGCTGCAGTGGTGGCCCAGCCCCACCGGAGCTCTGGGTGCCAATCCTAGGAATCTGCAGCTGGCTCCTCAGGTGACAGCAAACAGGTGAGGGGCTCTGCCTCCCTGGGCCGTGACAGCCTTTGCGGGGTCCACAGGGGGGCTCTGCGGGCGTCCAGGCTTCTGGATGTTCCGGGCAGGGCCTGGGCCAGGCCTTGCTGAGTCCCCGTGGTCACTAGGAAGAGCCTGGTCCACAGAAGAGGAGCTCCGAATGGCCCGGGTTCCAGCGTGGTGCAGCCATCCGTGGCTCTGTCACTTTGGTGCTGGCCTGGACAGACGCCTGGGCCCCTGGGCTGAGTCTGGTTGGGGGACAGGAGGCGGGAGGGGGCTCTCCCCCCCCCCCCCGGGGACCCTGGAAGTGGCCATGTGTGGTGACCCAAGCCCAGAGGTGGGGGCTGCAGTCAGCTGTGGTGTCAGGCTCCAGACCCACAATCACGCCATGGCGGCCCAGCATGGGCGGCCTCCTGCCTGCCCTTCCCCACCCAGGGCCACGGGGGCTCCATGGAGGCAGAGGTGCCCAAGGCCCAGCCCTGGTCCCAGTGTGATCACAACCCGCCCAGCCGGTTCTCCCTGTGTCCCCTGGGCCCTTTCCTGGTGCCACCCACCTGCCCGCCCAGGGACTGTGGGTCACCTTCCCTGCAGGGGCTCCAGACCTGGGGCCTCCCCGGGCCGCTGGCTCACTGTCTCCGTGCCCTGCCCCCCACGGGACAATGGGATCCACGAGATCGGGGTTCTCTCCTTGGAACTTAAGTGTGCGGTGTGGCAGAGGGGCCCGACCCCCAGGGACAGGGTAGCCCCCGACTCTGGATCCTGATTCTTCAGGGCCAGAGGGGGAAGGGGACCCCCCAACCCTGAAACCCTCCTTCCCTGCCTCCCGGCCTCCTCCCCCCAACAAAACACAGAGCACACCAAAATCAGGCAAGTGAGGCCACGGCGGTCGTAACAGGCTTCGTTTAGTGGTTTTTTTTTTTTTTTTTATGTACAAGAAAAAAAATTTTTTTCTGGTTTTTCATCTTTTGTCTTTTTGTTTTTGTTTTATTACTTTTAAAGCTTCTCCCCCCCACCCCCAAAAAGTGCATTTTTATCAATTGATTTTTTTTTTTAAATCTCCCACACTTTATAAAGACTCTCGAATACAGTCTCTGGAATGTCTGCTGTGCTCTCTCTGTACCCGAGGCCCCCGCCCCCACGTGCCAGGCCTGGCCCCCCAAAGTCCAAGGCACCTCAGTCTGCGCCTGGGCTGGGGCGGGGGCACCCGGGCGCTGGGGCCCCCACCCGCAGCCTCCAGGCAGCGCCAGCCACAGATGGGGTCTCCCCAGCCTCCCCCACCCCGTGTAAATCTGTATGTGTAGTGCGAGTAGTCTCAACTCTGAGGTTACGGCTCCTGGGGTGCCGAGCCCCCGGGGTCCCTGACCCGTCCTGCGCCAGCCACCCCACACCCTCGGGAAGGCTGCCTCCTCTACTTAAATAACTTTTTAAAATAAAACTGCAATATAAAATATCTTTCTTTTTTCAAAAAATAGGATTTTTGCTCTTTTTTTTTTGTGGTTTAACTTTTTATCTTTTTCCTGTTTTTCCTCTGTCTGTGTCACCTCCTACAATTCCGGCTGCCTGGACGTCCTGTCCTGGGTCGGGGAGCCCGCAGCCCCCTCACAGGGCCCACTGCTTGCGAGGGGCTCCCTGCCACGGCCAGGGCGTGAACAGTGCAAAGACCCTCCCCAGCCTGGCCACCCTCCTCCAGGGAAGACCCCAGAGGGAACAGGGGACCCTTCTCTGCCACCAGAGACCCCCCTCAGAAGGAAGCAATAGGACAGCTATGTACAAAACAGGGCGTCGACTCCACGGCCAATGGGTGGGGTCTCCGGCTGAGCTGGCCCGGTCAGGGACAGACTTTTTGGTTTCTCACGCTGGAGCCTGGCTGGGCCACAGCAGGCCCACACGACCCGTGCCAGGCTGGGCTGTCCGGCATTTTACATTCACTGGTTTGTCTTTTTTTTTTTTTCGTTTTCATTTTTAAAAATTTTTTGCCTTTTAAAATTTTTTTAATCTCCAAAGGCGGCGGTGGGGGGGGGCTAGGCAGGCAGAGCAACTAGAGCCGGGATGTCCCTCTCGCTCTCTCCGGCCCCGGGTAAGGCTGGGGACCGTGCAGATGGGGGCTCCGGCCCTGCCACCTCCGCCCGGGCGCCTCCCGGAGTCCCCGCCTGTGGCTCACCGACGCACGCGCACGCACACAGCCACGCAACTCCCACGTGAGGTTGGAAATAACAATTTCGCTTTGTTTTGCTTTTTTCTTTCTTTTTTTTTTTTTTCGTTTTTTGTTTTTTGTACCAGGCAGCTTAAAAAAAAAAGAAAACGCAAAAAAAAAAAAAAGAAAAAAAAAAAGAAAACCAAAAAAAACCCCAAACAACCAAAACAAAAAAGCCTTCAGCTGTGGCCTCCCTGCCGGAGCCGGGCGGCCCCCTCACATAGAATGGTTTTTGTTTCCTGAAACGCGAAAATTCAGCAGTATCTTTGGCAACACTTGATCACGACCTTAATTTAAAGAATAAAAATAAAATCGATCCACGTCTATATACAGGGGTGACTGCGCGGGGTGGGGCGGGCGGGCGGGCGGGGGTCCGGCCGGCCCATGCGGTCGCGCGGCCCGGGCGGGCGGTTAAGGCAGAGCGGGCGGCGGGCGAAGCTGAGCTCGGAGCTAGGGGCAGGGCGTTAGTGCCAGTCCCGAGGTCTGAGTGTCGCAGGCGGCCGCGGCCCGTCCCCACCAGTCCCAGAGGGCTCCACACCCCCGTCCGGTCGCCCCCACTGGCCAGGACGACAGCTGTGGTTTTTGAGTTGGTTTTATTGCGAGGGGGTGTGTGGGTAGGGGGAACAGGGCTCCCCTCTTGGGGACCTCTCTGGGAGTTTTTGGGGGGGTGGGGAGGGGAGGTGTCCCTGCTCGGCCACGACAAGATGGTTCTCCGAAATCGGGGGACGACCGAGGCCAGCGTGCTGCCACCGGCCCCAAAGGGGATCCTGAGACATTCGGGGTGCGTGTTGGGGGAGCTGACAGGTTTTGGAGGGGCAGGGAAGGAGACCAAAAAACTATCCTGTAGAAACAATATGAAAATTACCTTCTTAAAAAGCTTCCCTTTAAAAACGAAAGAAAAAGGAGAGACAAGAAGAGGCGCTGTCACAGAGGAGCAGGGTGACACGCCCCACCGGGCACTGGCGGGGTCTCGGTGGCTGGGGCAGCGCTATATACAGGGCCACGCTAGGCGTTGCGTATGCAGGGCAGGGCAGGGGAAGGGGGCGGCCTGGCATCTGGTGACACCGTCTCCCCGACCCTGGCCCCACTCCGTGGCCTAAGGCTCGGTCCATGCCGGGCCCTGCGGGAGCCAGAGGTTGGGGGGAGGCAGGTGCCAGCACCCGGGGGGTGGGGGTTACAGTCAGTGCCTTTGAGTAAAAAGAGGGGTGCCTGGGGGAGGGGGTCTAAGGCCCTGGAGGTGGGGGGCCCCTGTCACCCACCTCGACGGGGCGGGCATGTCCAGGATGGCAGCCCCTCGGTGGCCATGCGGGAGGACAGCCATCGGGTCCGGGGTGCAGGTCGGGGTGCTCGGGCTGGTGGGAAGGCCAGCCCCCTCTCGGGCCATCCCTGAGCTAGGGGGTGAGGAAGGAGGGTCCCCGTGGGCAGAGACGGCCACTCGTATGGCTCGGGCGGTAGGACTTCTCCAAATCAGAACTGAAAAAGGGGACATAAGGGGGGGGGCAGAGACAGGGGGGGTGACACGGCACAAACACAAAAACCCCACCGTCCTGCCTTCCGGGCCAGTTCCTCGGGCCCCACGACAGACCCCTCGGAGCGTGTCTCTCGGGTCCCTTCCGGGCCTTCCTTCTGGGCCCCCCCTTCTTGCCTTTGGGGAACAGAAGTGGATTCTACGTCTGCGGTGGGTTTTTTTTTTTATTATTTTGTACAAAAATAAATCGACTTTTAGGAATTTCTTTTGCTCTCTCTCTCTCTCTCTCTCGCTCGCTTTTTTTTGTCTTTTCAACTTTTCATAGAAGTTGGTTGCAACTTGTAAACATGGTTTTTCTTTTTAAATTAAGAATTAAGATAAAGTGTAGTACCCGTTCTGTTACAGAGTGCCAAGACTTCTAATGTGGTTGGTTGCCTATTTTTTTTTTTTGTCTTTGTTTTTTTTTTTTTTTTAATCTTCCTTTCGTTTTGTAAAATCTTGTTTCTGTTTCTTTTATTGCTTTTGTGACACTGGAACTGTGGACTGTCTCTGCCTGTCGTCCCTGCCATCCCCGGCCCCGGCCCCCGTCCGTCCGGCCCGGGCTCTGCGCGCCGTGCGGCTTGCCTGCTCCTCTGAGGAAAAGTATATATTTTATATATATATATATATCTATATATAAATTTTTGTTTTTAAGGAGAAAAAGAGAAAAAAAATAATCTAAAAAGTGCTTTAAAAAGTCGGGACACGGGGCCTCCGGGGCCGGGGCAGAGACAAAGTTCCGAATCTCCAAGCGTGGGGTGGGGGGTCTAGGCAGGGGGGCGCCCTGAGGGGTGGCCCCTGGGGGTCCCGCCGGGTCTAAGTGCCGTGAGGGGAGGTGGCAGGAGCCACCGGGCCGTCCGGGTGTCCTCCCCGCCCCAGCCCCAACCCGCGGTCCTGTCCCCTTCCTCCAGGCCGGGGAATAAATAGATTTGTGTCTCGGCGGCCTGAGACTCGGGGTGCCGGCCACGGGCAGGGTGGGGGGTGGGGAGGCCATCGGGGAGATGGAGGGGAGACCCCCCCTTAGTAAGTGCCCTGAGGAAGGAAGGTGGGGGGCCGGGGGTCCATTTTAACGTCCACTCAGAGCAGACAGAAATCATTTAAGGTCTTGTCCGAAAGACTCCTAGAAACCAGCAAGGGGAGGAAACTAAAAGCCCATCCCAGTCCCTGGCACCCCCCCAGCCCCCCAAGTCCGCCCTCGCCCCAGCCCAGGGCCTCGGACCGGCCCGGACCCCAGGCCGGGCGCCCGGGCCGGGGCTGTGCGGAATCCTCGCGTCCCACAAAAACCCCAAACCAAGGCCCGAAACCCAGCGACAGGGTGGCGGGGGAGCCGGGGAGGGGGCCGGGCCCTGGAGGGGGGACACGTCAGGGAGGGGGAGTCTGAGGAAAGCGCTACCCTAGATTCTGTGACGCTTCATATATATATATCTGTATATATATATATAGATATAGATATCTGTATATAGATAGATTTTCTTTTTTTGTGTTTGGGGGGGTGGTGGGTGGTTTCTCTCTCTCTCTCTTTCTCTCTCTCTCTCTCGCTCTCTCGTTCTCGGGTTTCTGTTTTCTCTTTTTGGTTTTCAGGCGAGTCCGGCTGTGAAGCTGTCGTCGGTGGCGGCCCCGGGGCCCCCTCCGCCCCCACCGCCGGCACCCGCTACATTCAAGCGGCCCGAGCCGTCGGGGCTGGCCGCGTCCTCGTCCTCGTCCTCGTCCTTAAAGTGCTTCTCCTGGCCGTTGCGCCGGGCGTCGGGGGAGCCGGGCGGGGCGGGGGCGCCGGGGGGCGCGGTGGCCCCCGGGCCGGGCTCGGGCCCCCCGCCCCGGACGCGGGGCTTGCGGCCGCGGCGCGAGGGCACCCCGTTGCAGCCGTCCTTCTTGAGGTGCCTGTGCAGGTGGTCGGAGCGCACGAAGGTCTTGCAGCAGCTGTCGCACTGGTAGGGCCGCAGCCCCGTGTGCACGCGCATGTGGTTCTTCAGGTCGTAGTTGTGCGCGAAGGCCGCGCCGCACTGCTGGCACAGGTACGGCTTCTCGCCCGTGTGCTTCCGCATGTGCACCTTGAGCTTGTCCTGCCTGCGGGGCGGGGCGGGGCGGGCGGGCGGTCAGCGGGCAGCGGGGCCCCCTGGTCTCTGCCCGGGGACCCTCGCCGACGTGGCCGCCCCCGGGGCGTGGACAGTCCCCGGCAAAACGGGGGACAGAGTGGGCCGCGTTAAAGTGCTGACACTTTGAAGAGGGCCTTGCGTGCTGGGTGGCGTTAGGTAACCGCTAAGCCTCTCTGAACCCCTCTCCTGGCCACGGGAGGAGAAGACGGCGGGCCTCTGCCCAGGGGGAGGCCAAGGCCGGAGAGGGGCTGTGGCCTCCATTCCCGCTGCGGACATTTAGCAAGCGCCTGCCCGGGGCCGGCCCTGTTCCAGGTGCTGAAAATACCGCAGGGAGGGAGGCTGGCGGTCGCTGGGGTGTTTGGTGACAGATAGAGTGACCAACTGTTCTGGTTTTAGCACTCAGAGTCCTGCGTCCCGGGAAACCCCTGGGTCGCGGGCAAACTGGGGCAGTTGGTCACCCTAGTAACCAAGTCCCCACCCGACGGCAATCGGGACCTTGCAACTCTCCCCGCTGGCCTCAACGGGGCCCGAGCTGTCGCCCCAACATGCTACGTGCGAGCCTGCCTCAGGGCCTTTGCACCTGCTATTCTCCCTGCCCAGAGCACTTTTTCCCGCTCAGATCTTGACAATCAAATTTGGGGTCAAATGTCACCTCCTCCCGGACCCCACTGCCCAGTCCCTCGAGCCACTGCCACCAACTTTCCAGTTCGGGTTCCTTGTTTCTCATCCATCTCCCTGGCTAGACTGCGGGCCCCGAAACGGCTGGTGCGGGGTGCGACTCGAGGGCCCTCCCTGCCCATCTCGCCTATGGGCACAGGGAGGACCTGGCTCGGTCTGGGGGCGCTAGCCCACAAAGCGGTCACCGTGCAGGTGCTACTCTGGCCCGTATGCCGCCCGCCGGCCACCGGTGGCTCCTGAGCCCTCGAAAGGCAGCCGGCCTGAGCTCAGGTACACGGGCGTGCAGAGGGCACCCCAGATTTCGAAGACTTGTTATGTGAAAAGTGACGCATGCTAATTCTGCACGTGGATCACATGCTGAAATAACTGGATCTATCAGGTTACATAAAATGTGCTTCTCAACAGCTCTCCTTTGCTTTCTCTTAACGTGGCTTTCAGAAAATGTAAAATCACGTAGGTGGCCTGCACGGCATGTCTATTGCACCGTGCTGGTCCTCACTGCTGGGGGCAGATTCCTCCCGGAACGTGGACGGCAAGAGGGAGACCTGGATCTAAGGTGCCCCGATTAGCATCTGACCTGCTCCTTGCACCCCTCATCCCAGCCACTCTGGGTTTCTTCCTTCTCAGACTCAGCAGACTGAGAGCTTCTTTAAGTGCGAGGACTGGCGAACTCCTATTCATCCCTCAAAGACCCACCTTGAATGCCTCTCCACCTCTGCCACCCTCCAGACCTGGCTTCTCCTCTGGTACCACCCACAGAGCTGACGTCCATACTTACTCTACCCTTTCCTTGGTTCTATTTCCCCGAGGGCCAAGGCCTGGTCCTTTGGCAACTAGACGCCTGCCCCTTCTCTCGCCTTGCCCCACTGGGCTGCAATGCACTGGTCACTCGCTGGACTAAGCCCGTCTGCTGCCAGCCTCCAGGGCTCTGGCTCCTTCCTCCTGCAAAGCCCACCAGCACGGTCTCCCAGGCGCCCTGCCCAGAGCTGGCACCGGGCCCGGGCACGGAGGGGACTGAGTGTCTCTGCACTGTGTAGACACTACCCCAGCAGAGGCTGGGAGGCTCAGAGAAAGGAAGTGACTTGCCTGGGGTTGCACAGCGGGCTGGGGGCCACGCAGAGGCGGGGGTGGAGGTAGCCCCAGTTTCATCACCCCGAGCCCAGCCGGGGTGATTACAGCCCCGCCGCCACGGCCCGCTTACTCAACACTGCCGTGACTCACAGGGGCCCCTGGGCTCGCGGCCTTGGGTGGGAGGGGGCCGGCTCCTGCGGGCGGGGGGCTGGGGCCCTGGGCTCGGGGCACAGGGCGAGCAGGTGGTTGGGTGGCGGGAAGAGGCCTTACTGAGTGACCCTCTCTCCCTAGGCCTCAGTTTCCCTGACTGGCAGGCGGGGCTGGCCTTGGGTTCGGGGGGCGGGGGCGGCCAAGTGAGAACGAAACTGAGGCCCTGGCCTGCGGTTAGGGAGGCCGGTGGCCCCAGCCGTGCAGGGGTGAGGGTGGGGCGGGCGCGGCGGGCAGGGTCCCTCTCCAGATCCCGCTGCCGGCCCTCCTGTGCTCGCAGACCCCGAGCGTGGGGCCTGCGGCGACCTCGGGGCCCTGCCTGGAGGAGGAGGGAGTCCCTCAGAACTCCAGCCCCCCAATCTCCCAGAAGGGCTGCCCGCCTCCTACCTGCGCCCTTTGCCCCTTGCCTGGCACTCCCGTGAGCCGCACCCGCCTCTCCTGCCCTGTGGGGGGGGGCTGGAGGGGATCAGCCCCAGTTCTTGTCCCCACGGGGCGGGTGGGAAGCTGGGACAATGGCCCCTTTCTTCAGCCTCGGTGGGCGTGGCTGGGGAACCCCAGGGCGGGTGGGGGGCAGGGGTGATGCTGAGTCACGGCCCGGCCCGCCCCCTGCCCCCACCGCCCTGGATCCACAAGGCCCAGCCGGCCACCTCTGGACTCCTGAGACCGAGTTGCAAACTGCCCTGGCCTGGCCTTGAACTCCTGCCGTCCAGGGACCAAGCCGCCTCGCTGATCCCCTAAGCTGAACTGGCCTCAGGGCCTCCGCGCTGGCTGTTCCCTCTGTCTGAAACGCCCTTCCCCGCGTCTCCCCGCCTGGCCACCTCCAGGTATCCACGAGGCCTGTGTCTGCACTGCAGTGTCCCCAGCACCTAGGACAGGGCCCGGCACCCAGCAGGCGCCTAATAAATGTTGGCAGAATGAAAACAAACTAGCCGAGCTCACGGGAGACTGAAAAGCGACTCAACAACCAGCGTCCTGTCCCGCCTCCCCGAGGGGAAAGGACAGAAGCCCACGGCGCGGAAGACGGGAAGACGGAGCGACTCCGCGCCTCCCGCCAGCCTCCCCCGGCCGCTGCCCCGCCCGCGCTGCCCGGCGCTCACCTGGTGAAGCGGACCTTGCAGATGCTGCACTCGTAGGGCTTCTCGCCCGTGTGCGTGCGGATGTGGCGCGGCAGCTTCCCGGCGCCCTGGATGACCTTCTCGCAGATGGGGCACTTCTGGAAGGCCTTGGCGCGGATCTTCTTCTCCACCTTGGGCGACCAGGCGGGGTAGACGTCGCCGTCGTGGGCGCCGCTGAAGTACTTCAGGTAGTAGTCCATGACGCCCTTGTCGTCCGCCCGCGCCTCCTCGTCGCTGTCGCCCGCCGCCGCGGCGCCCGCCCGGCCCACCGCCGACATCATCTGCTGCAGCAGCGTGCTGGCCGCCAGCCCGTCCCCGTCGGGCCCGTCCCCGTCCTCGCCCTCCGCCGCCCCTGACAGGAAGCCCGGGGAGTCGCCGGGCTCGGGGGCCGCCTCCGACAGCGAGGCCGCCTCCTCCTCCCCGCCCCGGCCGTAGTGGCCGTTCTGCGTGGCGGCCGGCGGGGCCGCGGGCGGCGGGAAGAGGCCGCCGGCCGGGGCGTCCTCGTCCCGCTCCGGCCACAGGCCCGGGTTGCTGTCGCCCTCGTCCCCGTCCCCCGGCGGGGGCCGCTCGGCGGGGGGGCCGGGCCCGTAGAAGTCCAGGCCGTTGCAGTCGCCCGCGGCCACGGCGGCCACCGCGGCCGCCACGGCCTCCTTGGTGGCGTCCAGGTCGTCGTCGGACGCGCCGAAGGCGGACCAGGGGAAGCCGGCGGCGGCGGCCGCGGCGGCGGCGGCGGGGGGCAGGCTGTTCATGGGGTTGCTCTGGAAGAACTCGAGGTACTCCTTGGCGCGGAGCAGGTTGCGCTGATCAATCTGGTCGACGAGGTCCGGCTGCCCCGCGTCCCCGCCCGCGTCCGCCGCCAGGATCTGCCGGTCCAGCAGGTCGGCGCACACGTGGCTGACCGCGGGGATCTCCAGCAGCCGGGCGGCGCTGAGGATGTCGCCCACGTTGGCCGTGCTGACCGTGAGCGTGGCCGTGTAGGCGAAGTCCACGAGCGCGGTGAGCGCCTCGGCACTCACGAAGTCGATCTCGTACACGTTCTGCTGGTCCACCACGGCCCCCGACGTGAACAGCTTCTTGAAGTACTGGCTGCAGGCCGCCAGCACCGAGCGGTGCGTGGGGAACTCGCGGCCCTCCACCAGGATGACCACGTCGCACAGCAGGCCCTGCGTCCGCTGCTCGTTCAGCCCGCTCAGGATGTCGCTGCTGTGGTCGGGGAACGGGATCCCGATGGGGCCGTCCACGCCGCCGGCCATCTTCCGCGCCGAGACCTGCAGGGCGGGAGGAAGGGGGCGCCCGTGAGTGGGTGGAGGGGTCCCTGCCCCCCCAGCCTCAGTTTCCCCAGCTGTGCCCGAGGGCCGTCAGACGTCCTGTTCTAGCTCATCGGCGGGAGACTGCCTGGCGGAGCCCGTGCCGGGAGCCTGGGAGACGCGCGCACCCTGGCACCCCCACGGGAATGCCCACCCAAGGGGCACTTTGAGGTGTCGCGGCAGCACACAGTAGGCGCTCAAGAAATGGCCCCGATCGGAGCCATCCTCCCATCAACCTGAGCACGAGCTCCTGCCACACGGAGGTGGCGGCCACGCAGGGACCTTCCCAAAGCCCCCACTTCTCCCTGGTCACGCCTGAGCCCCACCAGCCCGCAGGTGTGCCCGCCTCGGATGTGGCTGCATCCGAACTCAGACCCGGCGCCCTGCGACCTGGGAGCCCGGCCCTCGGCCTCCCCGACCCTTGCTCCTGCCTCCTGGTCGGCCGGCTCGCTTCGGGGGTCTGAGTCAGCAGGAAGGGGCGAGGCCGGGACCTGGCACTGCAGCGGCCTGGGGTCAAGGCTGCCATGGGTGTGCCCTGGCAGGGCAGGACCGGTGACTCCACAGACTCCCCTTCCTGCCCCGTGGATCCCCTGGCACGGGGCTTGGCCCCAGCAGGGAGCAACAGGGACACCAGGTCACCACCTGGCCCACGTCCCTGCAGAGTGGCAGGAGGCCCCTGCCCACGGCCGCCTGGCAGCCCCCTCAACTCTCAGCCTCCCTGGCAGCACTGCCTGGCCGGCGACAAGGCCCCGGCGCTCTCTGGGCCTCAGTCTCCCCATCTGTCAAATGGGCAGAGGTCTCAGGAAGAGCGGGCCCCGGGGGCTCTGTCCCGCCCCTCTCCCTCGGCCCCCCCCTACTTCCCGCCTTCCCTCGACTGTGACTCATCCGCCCACTGGGGCGCTTGTGCAACCCTCTGGCTCTGTCCCCACCCTCCACCCTCTCCTGGGAGCCCCCGGCTGCCCCAAGCCACCCAACACAAGCCGAATTCCTTGGGGCGGGCGGCCAGCTCCCAGGCCGGAGCCCCCTGGGCAAGGTCCCCAGGGAGAGGGCCCACGCTGGGCCATCCTGGGCCTTGAGACCTCCGGCCCCTGTGGCCGGGCGGGCGAGGGAGACCCGGCGTCGGCGCGGCCAGACCCAAGGCCAGGGCGGCCCTGGGAGCGGGGTCTGGGCCGAGGGGCCGACACAGAGGCCTTTGTGCCGTGGGCCCGGCAGCCACTCCCCAGGGCTCCCGGCCCAGCCCGGCCCCCCGCCCTCCCTCCTTCCCTTGGGCCCAGGCGCAGCTGCTCCCCTCCCCTGGGCCGGCGGCCTGTGGTGGGGAGGGGGTGCTCAGATGTGGCTGTCGGGAGCGGGGAGGGGGGACCCCATCGGCAGCCCGGCCCGTGGAGCCTCAGAGGAGCCCCCGTGGGCGGCTGCCACCCCCGCCACCATCTGCCGTCTGGCCCCGGGCCGCGGGAGCATGTGGGCAGATGGGCTCTGGATCGGACTGCCCCGCCCCCAGCACAGGACGGAGGGGACCTCTGACCCTGGCCACCAATGCCCCAGATGGCCTCCAGGGCCCTGCATGCTGGTTCCCTCAGGTGAGCCATGGTCCTCCTGGAGTGGCTGAGAGGGGCCTCTCCGAAACAGCCCAGTGACTCACCCCTCCAGCGGCTACTCTGCACCCTGGCTTCCACAGCCGGGCACTGCCGTGGCCCCACTTAAGCCTGGAACCAGGCTCCGGGCCGCGGTGGAGCGCCTGGGCGCAGTCCCTACCCTTTCCAGCCAGGGCGAGCCCCGAGAGTGGCCCCTATTTTACAGATGAGAACACTGAGGCCCAGAAAGGGCGCCCAGCCTGGCCAAGGACGCCCAGCCGGCTGACTCCCAGGGGCTGGCCCCCACCCACTGGCCTTCCCTGGCCCTGGAAGCCTAACGCACTGTGCAGACACAGGCCACACCCGTGCCCTCTCTCTCCAGGAACCCGGGCCACCTGGCGGCCACGCCCTGCGCCACCACCCCCACCAGGCCCTCGGGGGGCACCCCCCTAAAGGAAAGGGCCAAAGACCCTGCATTCGAGGTGAGAGGCGGCCCGCCAGAGCCCCTCGGCTGGTCACCAAGTCCTGGCCACACAAAGCACTGCGTGCTGAAGACCCACTGTGCACCACGCCCCATGTGTGGTGGTTGCGTTCCCTCCTCCCCCAGGAAGCCTGAGCACCCGCCCCCCACGCCAGCCAGGTCCCCACGCCCGCCAGCCAGGGTCCCCTGAGCCCAGGCCCACACCCACCCAGGGCCCCATCTTTCACCGCGGCCCCTCCCCCAACACTCGCCTCGTGGGATTTCCGGGGCGCTCGGTGCTGACTCGGCGGCGAGGGGCAGGCCCTGGCAGGCCCCTCCTGGGCCGGAGGTGGGGCGCCCTCCTCCCCCTGGGCCCCTCCCAGGTCCCTAGGCCCAGCCCTCCCCGGGGCAGCGCACAGTAGGGCCAACGACCACGCCTGGCCGTGCCCAGCTGGCTGCAGGCACACCCAGTCCCACCTCCCGTCTAACCGAGGGTCGCATGCTGTAGTTTCTTCCTAAGGCAACAGGACCCAGGCCTCATCTCGGCCCTTCCCTGTGCCCCAGAACTTTGAGGGACCAACCGGGTGCCTTCAGTTCACCTGAAGGCTCAGAGAGGTGACAAGACCCAGCCAAAGTCACACAGCAGATCAGTGGCCTGGTCTGGACTCGCCCTCTGACCCAAACTACCCAGGGACGTGCAGCAAGTGTCACCCAGGCGGGACCCGGGACCGTGGCAGGGCGGCCCGGCACGGGGAACAGCAGCAGCAGAGGCCGGGGGTGGGCAACCCAGAGCCGGGCACGGCAGCCGGGGCTTCCCAAGGTCAGGGCAAGGTGAAGGTGAAGGTGAGGGCTCGGCCCACCCATGCTCCTCGGGAGGGAGGAGGGGCGGCGGCAAGGAGGCCGGGCAGGTGACTGCCACCCATGGCCTTCCTGGAGGGCACTTCCAGACCCAGGGACCACTCAGTGTGGGTCCAGGGCTGCCCCGCTGCTCCGCCCGGGGAGAAAGGAGGCAGCCTCACACCCGCCGCTGCCGTGCAGGAGGGCGACCCGGCCCTGCCGCCCCACTTCTGAGCTGCGTGACCTTGGCCAGGAGGCAGCGCCTCTCTGAGCCCTTCCTGGGGCAGGGGTCGCGGCTGCCGGGAGAGCGGCCCCCCGAGACCAGGGAGCGCGGGGTCGGGGTCCCACTCACATCCCCGGCAGGCTCTGCCCGGGGACCTACTGTGTGCCACAGCCAGTCCACAAGCCCAGCCAGGCGGCCGAACGTGGCCCGGACACGCCGCGAGGCCGGGCCATCCTCGCCTACTGTGCCCCAGGAGGGCAGTGGGGCCCGAGGAAGAGGCCGGCAGGGAGGTCGGGCGCAGAGAGGGTGGGCGGCCGGCCCAAGGTCACACAGCCAGCCTGGCACGCAGGTGCGGCTGCCAGGCCCTGGCCCGGCGGCCCCCACCCCACCCCGCCCGCCGGCGGCCTGTGTTGCAAGGTTGGTCCCGACGGGTTACCCCATCCTGACCTGGTGCCAACCCCCGCCTGGCCCGGTCCCCGGCCTGGGCTTAATGGGACAGGAATGCGGTGTCCGGGTCGGGGGCACCCAGCGCCCAGGGTGGCTGCCCGCTGCCCGCCCGCCTGGCCCCGGCCCCTGCCCCGGCGTTGGCCTCCTCCGGAGGACAGCACCCGGCCTCGGCCATTTTCCTCGTCCATTTATTGCCCTAAATGGGGAGGGGCTTCCTGCCCGGCCTTAAAGGGCCAGAGGCAGGAAGGCCTCGGGCCCGGTGGGAAGCGTGTGCGTGGGGTGGGGACGGGGGCAGGGACGAGGCGGCCGTGGGAACCCCCTCTGACCCCCAACTGGACTCCCAGGTGGGAGGAGGCCCACCCTGTTCCCACGCTCCTAGCGCCAACACGGGCCAGGAAGCCCAGACTCAGACCAAGGCCAAGTTCCAGGAGGCAGCTTCAGGAAGCCAGAGCCATCTGTGATGGCTGTGCAAGGAATGAGCTTCCCGTCACTGGGGGTAAGCAAGGCGAGACTCCACGGACTCCCATCTCTGTCTACCCTGCCCTCAGCTTGGGCGGCACCAAGATGCCCAGGGGTGGCCTGGGTGACCTCTAAGAGGCCCCACTCCGCCTCCAGGCCTCTCTCTCCCTCCACCGGGGCAGGCTGGCTTGCCACCTGCACCGCCCCCACCCCAGCCTGAGCAGGTGGAAGGCGCAGCCTGGGCGCCTAGAGGGGCACTCGTCACACACACCCTGATAGGTGGTGGGCCGGGGCCTTGTCTTCCAGTCAAACCAGAAAGGCGTGGGTGGGGACGCTTCCACAGAGTGGCCGTCCACAGCCTGCTGGGGGACAGATGGAGGGGCCGGTCGTTTGGCAGCGCTTCCCGCAAGCGCCAGGTCCTCAGCGGGCGCCTTCTGTGCTCTGGGGCTTTGGGGCTCTGGACTCGCGCTTCTCGGAGGAAGGTGGGAGGCCAGTCTCGGTCACGTCAACAAGAGGGCCACCTCACACACCATCCTCACAGCTCTGGGACGCAGCGGCCAGCGTCCCATTCTGCAGATGGGAAGCAGGCTCAGAGAGAGGAGGCGACTCGCCCAGGGTCACACAGCAGAGCTAGAAGTTGAACACAGGCCGTCGGGCTCCCTCCTGCAGAAGTAGCCACCCAAGGGCTCCCTGTCCCTGTCTGCTGACATGCCACCCCCAGGTACGCCAGAGGGTAAACCCCCCCGCCGTGGGCGCCATGGGCCTGAAGACGGCTATGCACCCCACACCCCCCCAGAGCTCGTGGGGATGTCGGACAGGCTCCCCAAGGCCCCGATACTGCGCACAGTAGTTGCTCAACAAACGTTCCCGGGGAACCACTGAGTGACCCCCCCCCAGGACGACACTTCTGGGCTGAAGACAATCCCTCCGTTGTACCGACGGGCAGAGGGGCAGGGACTGCCCGGGTGGACGTCAGGGCCACCGAGCTGGGCTGGGACTGGAGCACACTCACCCCCACCCAAGCTTGTTCCTCTAGTCCCTGCTGCTCAGGGCCACTGCGGGGCGGGTCGAGGTCTGGCAGGTGCCTGGAGCACCAGGTGACAGGTGGGGGTGACGAGCGTCTCAGGTGGCTGGTGACCCACGCCCAACACTCGAGTGGGTCCCTGGCACGCCCTGGGAGCTTCCCCCACAAGGGAGGAGGGGAGACACGGCACAGGTGGGTCTGCAGGTGCCACCAGGGCCACCCTACAACTCCACGGGCCACACTCCGGCGGCCTGGGTGCAAGCGCGCCGGCCTCCAGCCCTCGCTGGCCCTGACTCCTGACCTTGGTCTCCTCTGACACGAAGCCGTGAAACCCAGAGCCCTGCGGCCCCCGAGGGCCAAGGTGCCCGGGCGGGAATGGTGGGCGGCGGGCTGGAAAGGGGCCCTGCACACTCACGTGCCAGAACGTGTCGGCCCGGTGGGGCAGGGAGGCAGGAGGACTACGGCTCCTGCTGTGTGACCTTGGGAGCCTTGCTGGCCCTCTCTGAGCCTCCACGTCATCTCTGCAAGAAGGATTTAATAAGCCTCGGTGACGCTCCCTTCAGACAGGTGCCCGCAGGTGACGCTCTGCGGCCAACCCCTGGCCCTTCTCAAGACAGGTGGGCAGACACCCTCGGCTGCAACACGGGGCGCCCGGCAGGCCTGCACCCAAGGCAGGGCCACCGTGGTCAGATCTGGCTCTGGCAGGGTGACCTTGGGCCACTCTGTGTCCCCTGCACCTCAGTCTCCCCTGCCCAGCAATGGCATCCACTCTGGGGCTCACTCTGACCACCAGGGCTTCCCAGCTCCCGTCTGGCCTTCCCTGGGGGCCTTGGTTTCCTCCGATGCAATTCTGGCTGCCACCAGGTGGACCCAGGCGCAGGTCAGAGGGGTTAGGAAAAGAAAGGAGAAAACCCAAGCCGCCACGCACTTGCTGTGGCCCGGGAACGTGCCCTGCCCGCGGGGCCAGGCCTCAGTCTCCCACACAGAGCCAGGGCCGCCGGCTCCCCCTGCCACCCTCGGGCCTCTGCTCAGAGTTGCGGCTCCGGCCAGGCAGGGTGCTGAGTGGCCACCACGCAGCCAATCAGAACTGAATAATAAATACCCCCCCAGAGTGACCCACGAATTAAAATTTCAGTGTCCCCGTTGGCTCCTCTTTCTTCAATAGGCTTTGGTTTTACAGCGACCTGCCCCCCCCAGGCTGTCTCCACAGCGATGGCCGGCGGTAAACAGAGCCCCAGCCCAGCTGATAGGTGCTCCAGGGGCCCCACGGACGGCCACCCTGGGGTGGGGGGGCGATGTCCCCGGCCTGAAGTCCCCACCGGGCAGCAGCAGGCCCTGGCCTCCCGGGACCAGCTCTGCCAATAGGAAGTGATTGGCTGGTGGTGGGCAGCCCCCCCAGAGTGGGAGCGGCACACTCAGGGTTACGCCCTGGTCCTGTTTGGGGCGGGGGGGACTGACATGGAATCCTGGACGCCCTCTCGGGAGGCAGCTGGCGCGGAGGGGGAGGGGGCCAGCCAACCCCGCCACCCATGGGTGAGCCAGGTGGGCGCCGCTGGGGGCAGGGGCACCCGCACCTCTCTCACTTCCGCTGGCTGGCTGGGGGGAAACAGGAGTTGCCCGCCTCCCCCTGACTCCCCGCCAGCATTTAGTGGGCGCCGACTGGGTGCCCGGGCCTAGTTGGACAGCACCCTCCTGCTGCAGCCGAGCGGACGGACGCCCCCTCCGCCCGCCCGGGCAGTGCCTCCCAGAACCGCAAAGGCCCTGGCCCGGGCCCCGGGCGCGCCCGCCCCGGCCTGCGCCCGGCTCAGCCCCGGGCCAGGCCATGGGGGAGGGGGCCGGGCGCGGGAGGGAGGGGGCCGGATCCCCCCGGCTCTCCCCCTCCCCTGCCGGGCCCAGCGCTCGCACGTGGTGGTGGCGTCAAGGGGAAGCAGCGGGGTCCGGGCCAGAGGAGACGGGGTCACGCGCCGGGGGGCGCGGGCGGGTGACGCGGGTGCCCGCTGCCCACTCCCGCGGCCGGGGCCGGAGCCGCGCGGCAGGGCCAGGGGCCAGGCCGGTCCCCCCACCCGGGGCTGAGTCAGGCCCGGGCGGGGGCAGGAAGCGGCCCCCTCCCCGCCCGGCCGCAGCGCGCGCCCCCGCCCCGGCCCGCGAGCCCCCGCCGCGCCGCCCGCGCGGGGGGCTCCTACCTCCTTCCCGGCAGCGGGGAGGGCCCGGCCCCCCGGCGGCGGCGTGGCGGCGGCTGCAGCTGGGCTGGCTCCCTCCGGAGGGGGGAGGCGGCAGTGAGCCTGGCCCCGCGCACCCCCCGCCGCCGGCGGCCAATCCCCACCCGGGCTGGGGGGAGGGCGATGCAAATTACCCGGATCTGGGTCCGCCCGCCCGCCTCCCCCACGCCCGGGCCGGCCTGCGCTAGGCCGCGCATCCCCGGCTCGCCTGCCGCGCGGCCGCCGGGCCGCCGCCCTCCCCGGGGAGCGCCGCGAGGGTGACCCCCCCGGGGGGGCCGAGGGGAGGGGGCTGGGACGGTTACACAACCAGGCGGGGAGGGCCGGGGCGGGAGGGGCCGGCCGCGGGCCGCGCAGCCGGAAGCCGGGACCGCCACCGGCCCCCGGCAAGGGAACCCGGGCTCTAGGCCCCGCCCCCGCGCCGGCTGGCCCCGCCCCCGCGCCGCGCGATCGACGCGCGCCCATTGGCTCTCCGACCCGCCGCTCACCGCCCTCCTCCGACACCCCCTACCCGCGGGCCGCGGCGGCTGCCGGCGCGGGGCACCCTGGGACTTGTAGTCCGCACGCCTGCCACCTGCCAGCCACAGACGGCTGGCGACTACGGCGCCCATAGGGCCCCGGCCCCACCCGCCCACCCGGACACCCACCCTCCTTCCCCTCCTTCGCAAAGCCCCTCCTGTTTTTTCAGCCCCTCCCCCCCATCCCCCATGGAGCTCAATCCTGGCCAACTCCAACGTATGCACGCAGCACCGAATAGGCCCCCGGGGGCGAGAGCGCCCCCAGTCCCCAGCTGCAAACTTAGCACGCGACGCGCCCCCCTATCTCCCACGCCGGCTCCCCCACCCTCAATGCAGCCCACTTCCCCTCCCCCGCTCCCCGCGCGCCCTGGAGCCCGAAAAGCCATGCACCCGGGTGGGGGGGCTGGCGCATGAGCCTGTGCACTTCGCCCCCAATCCCCGCTCCCGGGTGGCGCCCCTCCCGCGCCCGGGATCCGGGGCGCCTCCAGTCTCGGGGCGGCTGCCGCCCACCCCTCCTCGCAAACTTGGGGAAGGTCCCCTGCCCCAAGACCTCCGCTCCCCGGGAGCGCAGGGTGGCGCAGCGCCCCCGCCCGTCCCACCCCGCAGCCGCGCCGGGCCGCGCGGGCGCGCCACCCCCCCCCCCCCCCCCCCCCCCCCCCCCGCCCCCCCCCCCCCCCCCTCTGACCTCGCGGGCCGGGCCGGGCCGGGGCGCGCGGGGCCGGGGCCCGGAGTTGGGACTGGGCGCCCTGGGCCGCTCGCCTGCGGGGTCCGCGTCGCGCGCTGTCCCCGCGTCGCTCTCCCCCGTCGCTCCCTGGCTCGGCGGCGGCGTCACTGCCCCTACAGTAACTGTACAGTACAGCCAAAGCCCCGTATGATGCTCGCGACTCCCTTCCTGGTTTCTCCGAGGGCAAGAGGGGTCCTCCCTTGTCTTAAAGGTGCCGCAGCCGCCGGCCCCCCCACGCCCAGCCCGCCCCCCCACCCCGGCCTCGGAGGCCAGAACAGGCTCGGCAGGTCCCCTCTTGCCACGTCTCTGCCCTCCCGTGGGGCTTCGCCCGCCGCGCTGGGGAGACCGGGCTGTTATTAGGTTTTGTCAAGTTGGGGGGGGTCCAGCCCGCCCCCGGCGCGCCCCCCCACTCTGACCTCTCCGCCCCGCCGCGCGGCGCCGTGCCAGCTTGCCAGCTTATCTGGCCCCAGAGCTCCCCGGGGCGCGGGGGGAGCGGGCCCCCCGGGGTGGAGAGGGGTGGGGGCCTCCAGATAAACAGGCCCCCAGCCTCTGCGCAGGGCAGGGTGCGGGGGGGCGCGGGCTTTGCCCCGACGCCCGGGGCGTGGCAGGATGGCAGCGGGGCGGGGAGCGCCGTGCACTCCGCGAGGACCGACGCGGGCGTGGGTCGCGCTGCCTGGGCTGCGGGCGGGGGGGCCCGGGTGGCGGAGCCCAGGGCGCGGGGACCCCCGGCCCCGGCGCCGGCCCTCCCGGGGCGTCCGTGTGCCCGGCCGCGCCGGGGACCCGGGGACGGGCTTGCCGGGGACGGGCTTGCCGGGGACGGGCGCGGGTCCGCGGGGGCTGGTCCCTAACGCGCGACCGCCAACCTGCCCTCCGCGGTTATATAAAGGAGTCGCCTCCACCCGCCGCGCCAGGGGCGTCGCGGGGGCCGGGGCTGGCGAGGGCCGGGGAGGGCGGCTGTTTTCCAGGCTTTCCAAATTCCCCCACCCCACCGCGGGCCGCTGGGCGGGCCGGGGGCCGGGCCGGGACGCCTGGGTCCCGCAGAGGTCCTGCGTGGCCCGGGCGGGGGCGGTGGGGAGTGGGCCGGCGTTGGCTCGGCCCGACTTCTTTCCCGTGTCCACTTCTCCCACTTCCTCCTCGGTCGTGGGAGAGGTCCGGCGGGGACGGGGGAGGGGGAGGAGGGGACGAACGCTGAGAACAGCCTGACCCGGCCCAGCCCGCCGCACACAGTAGGCGCCCGCGCCCCGGGACGGCTGCCTGGGGCCGCTCCGCGCCTCAGTTTCCCCTTCTTCCCTGCCTACGACGGGGGAGCGCTGACACCCGCACTAGCCGCTGTTGACTGAGCGCTGACCCGGTGGCGGACTCCCTCGGGGTGTAATGCCATTGCCATTAGTATTAATTATAATTATTTATCGTTATTGTAGGTATTTCCAGCGCTACCTTGCAGGCAGGAAATACCACCGGCATGGGGGAAATCTACCCGCCTGGCCTCCGACTTCAAAGCCACACGCGCACTTTTGCCTCTTCGCACACCATTGTGAAGGCACCCTTCCACGCCCAAATGCAGAATTGGCTTTTGTGATAATAATTTGGTTTCAGGGGGAAACCCGGGAGCCCCCCCACCAGAGGGGACGTGACGCCCGGGACTCGCAGCCCGAAACCAGCTGGGTGGGTGGGAAGGAAGGGACGAGGGAGGGGCCACATGGGTCCGGGGCGAGGGTGGAACCCACAGACTTTGCTCTAACGACCGACCCTGCCTGGGACACAAGCCCGTCTTCCCTAAGCCACCAGGCCAGGCCGGCGCCTTGGGGACTAGGAGGCCAAAGTGGGGCACAGTTGTCAGACTCCAAGGTCGTGTTGGGATTCCTGCAGACAACAGAGCCCAAGCTCCAGTCCTACGTGGTGGTCTTACCTCCCCAGGGAGCTCCACCCACTCCACCCCCCCAGCTTCGTGACTCAGTTTCCCCCTTGTACCGCCCACCAGCATGAGCTATTAAAAGATAAAGAAAGGAAAACCCCACACCAGTTCTCCATGGTTAATAACCTGAGAGGGGCATTTCACTGAATCCTTGTCATGGCCCTGAGAAAAAAAGCAGGGATCAGGATTTCCATCTTACATTTGGGGAAACTGAGGCCCAAGGAGAGAAATATGAGGAAGGATGTCAAATCCGGTGTTCACTGAGCTCTGGATCCTGCCAGGGGGGCTGGAGGGGGTCCTTCAGGAAATGCCATGGTGTGGCATACTCTGGACCGTGCCCCCCCCTCCTCCTCCACAGTGAAAACAGAGTGGGGGGGGAGGCAAAGGTTTCTCCTGATCTCCCCTCTTCTCTCCCCCCAACCCCACCCCCGGCAATGAAGCCAAGCAAGTGGATGCTATTTTAAAACCTACTGAAGTATAAAAGATTGAGTTGCTGTGTGACCTTGGGCAGGTTACTTAACCTCTCTAATCCTCTGAGTCCTTTGGAGGGAGTCATGAAACAGACGTCCCCAGGGTGGTGACACCGGAGAAACGAGGGGGTGCAAGTGACATGCGGAAACAGCACCAGCAAAGTCCTCAATCCATGATAGAAGTGACCCTATTATCGCTGCGTGGGGCTGTCCCCACCAACCGTCATGCACTTTATTTTCGTCTGCGTGTGTGGCAGGGGGAGCCGGCCTTGGGCTGTGGACGCAGACACAGAGACCCCGGAGAAGAAAACCTTGCCAACGACTCGAGGGGAGTCAGACTGGGAGACGTGAAATTGCGTTGACTAGACTGAGCAGCGAAGGCATAAAGTATTTTAAACGGATAATTCTTGTCACCGTGTCCAGGGTGGCTTCTCGGGTGGAGCAAGAAGGGAGCCGGCAGGGGCAGGGTGAAGGGAGCTCCCGTCCACCCTGCACTCTTCACAGCTTTTGAGTTTTGTATATATATTACTCGAGATATGCTATATAAATAGTATATAATTTCTAATAAAATAAAACATTTTAAAAGTGTAATTATTTCACTTTTGTGCCTCAAAGGACGCCACAGAGAAAGTGAAAGAAATGCCTACAGAATGGAAGAAAATATTTGCAAATCTTTTTTTCTTGTTGTTTTGTTTTGTTCCTTGTGACGGGGTCTCGCTCTGTCACCCAGGCTGGAGTGCAGTGGTGCGATCACAGCTCACTGCAGCCTCCAACTCCTGGGCTCAAGCGATCCTCCTGGCTCAGCCTCCCGAGGAGCTGGGACTACAGGCTGATTTTTCTGACACCTGGCTAATTTTTCTATTTTTTTGTAGAAACAGGGTCTTACTATGTTGCCCAGGCTGGTCTCAAATTTCTGGTCTCAAGCGATCCTCCCAGTGCTGGGATTACAGGCATGAGCCACCTTGCCTGGCCAATAATTGCACATCATATGTCTGATGAGGGCCTAGTATTGGGAATATGTACAGAATGCTTAACCTCACCAATAAAAACACAGTAACAATTTTAAATGGGCAAAGGATATCTGAATAGACATTTCTCGAAAAAACACAAGCAATGGTTAATAAAGCACGTAAAAAGATGCCTGACACCGTGAGCTTCTGGGAAACACACATCAAAACCACAATATGGCGCAACTTCACACCCACTAGGAGGACTGCCATAAAAAAAAAAAAAAAAAGACAGACAATAGCAAGTGTTGGCGAGGACGTGGAGCAACTGGAACCCTCATGCATGGCGGCGGGAATGTAACACGGGGCAGCTGCCGTGGAAAACAGGCGGGCGGGTGCTCGGAAGGTGGAACATGAGGGTGCCACCTGGCTCAGCAATTCCACTCCTGAGTCTGTGCCCGAGAGAAGTGGAAACATCTGTCCACACAAACTTGTCCACAAATGTTCACAGCAGCATGACTCCCAACAGCTAAAAGTGGAAATAGCCCAAGTGTCCACTGAGGGAAGGATGGACAAACACACGTGGCCCATCCACACGTGGAATGTCACTCGGCCATGAACAGGGACGAGGTTCTGACACAGGCCACAGCGTGGTGGGACCCTGAGGACATCGTGCTCAGAGAGAGACGCCAGACACAGAAGGACACACAGCGTGAGACTCCATCTACAAGAAATGTCTAGAACAGGCAGATCCACAGAGACAGGATGTGGATTTGTGGGTGCCAGGGGCTGGGGGAAGGATATGAGAGTGATTGCTATTGAATATGGGGTTTCTTTTGGGGTTTATGAAAATGCTCTGAGATTATATAACGTTCATGGTTCCACAACTCTTTGAATATACTAGAAAGCACTGAATTGTACACTTTAAAGGGTGAATTATGGCTGAGTACATGGTGGCTTATACCTGTAATCCCAGCACTCTGGGAGGCCAAGGCAGGATGCCTGACCTCAGGAGTTCGAGACCAGCCTGAGCAAGGGCTACCCCCGGTCTCTACCAAAAATAGAAAAAATGGACCAGGTGTGGTGCGCTAATCAGTCCCAGCTATTCGGGAGGCTGAGGCAGGAGGATCGCTTGAGCCCAGGAGTTGGAGGCTGCAGTGAGCTATGATGACACCACTGCACTGCAGCCTGGGCGACAGAGTGAGACCCTGTCTCAAAAAAAAAAAAAAAAAAAAAGGTGAATTATATAGCATGTCAATTATGTATCAGTAAAAATTATGCAAACTTCATTGTTTCATTTAATCTTCAAAATGCCTGCGGTGTTTTAAGAGAATGTCCCTGAGTTACTGCAGAAGGTCGTCGAATTACCAGACTTCAGAGGTCTCCTGGCGCTGAGTCAGGTGTTCTGCACACGCGCACACACACATGCATGTGGGGACGCCCGTGCACACACTCCTTCACATGTGCTCGGCACCATGAGCGCCGGGAAGACGGGGTACGGTAGGGATGGCAGAGATTTTGCAGGGGGAGATGCTAGCTGCCCTCCGGGAAGCTGCTAGGAGCATCCAAGTCAGGACCCTCCTGGAGGATGGCAGGGGACGGGGATGCCAGGGCCGAGTGAGCCCCGGGCGGGCAGGAGCCCACGCTTTGTGTTTCCAAGGGGAGACCCCACCCCGCGGGAGGCAGCCCAGTGGGCGGCCGTCTAAAGCCCTCGTCTCTCCTGCACCAAGCTAGTCCTTCTGTTCCAACCCTGTGGCCCAGGTCGCTTTCTGGCTCTCAGTTCACCAACGGCGAGAGACCGGCGCTATGCGAGTGGCGAAGCCGTCCTCAGTCACTGGGGCCAAGTGTCTGCAAGTTTTTCAGCTGGTGTGGCCAGTTCTCACCACCGTGACCCAAGAGGGGAGGGCACGAGGGGCCTTCCCCGGCTGCCTGGTCTGTGTGAACTTGGGACCGCAGGCCCCCGGGAGCTGTAACGTCACGGTGTTCAGAAAGGCTTGCACCTGAGCCGTGGCAATCCTAGCTGATTTTCTTGGAGGGATTTCTGGGAGAGAGAGCTTCCCGGAATGTTCCAGTTTAGAAATGGGAGGGATGCTGGAAGATTCTAGAAGCCCCCGGGGTCCCCCTGAGCATGACAATTCTAGGACATTCTGTTCAGCAGCTGGTCTTCCCGGAAGCCATCCTGGCCAGCCTGGGAAATCCACCGGGTCACGGCTCCTTGCAGGGAGGGGACCGGCGACAGGAGCTCCCACGGGTCCTTCTTATTTCGCTTATTCACGGGACAAAAACGGACCAGTGCCTCCCACACAGCAGGTGCTGCTCCACAGGTTACGTTGTCAAGAAGGTTAAAGATAATAAACAGGACAAATACATACGGGAATTCCAGACAAGCAGAGTGCCGTGAAGACAGTAGACCAATCAGAGGAATGGAAAGCTGGTGACTAGGTCCTGGGGATATTTTTTTTTTAAATTTCTTAAAATATAATTGAATAGGGCAGGGGTGGTGGCTTTTGCCTGTAGTCCTAGCACCGTGGGAGGCAGAGGCAGGAGGATCGCTCTCTTGAGGCCAGGAGTTGGAGGCTGCAGTGAGCTATGAGCACATCACTGCACTCCAGCCTGGGCTACAGAGTGAGACCCTGTCTCTAAAAAAGTTAAAAAAAAAATTTGAACATGCCCTTCTCCTAACCTTTCCTCAAAATAAAAAAAGCAATGATCAAACATGTGTCAAGGATTTTATCTAACTCATTAATTAATGAGGGAACCTGTAAGATGTTACAACTGGACCCAAAGAAAATTTCCAAGAACCATCCACGCATAGAAAAATAAGAAATTAGGCCGGGCGCGGTGGCTCACGCCTGTAATCCATGGGGCCATTCCCATTTCGCATTTTTTTACATATTCTCTCTTTCATTGCTTATGGCGTCTATTGTCAGCTTGCGATAGTTGTCAGCATCCATCCATTCATTTCCATCAAGCACATCTGTTGGTGGGCCCATTGCATCTCTTCCAGCGCGAGCTCCCATCCATATGCTGGCTTGGATTTGCTGTATCCGGTTTTTTGCCATGGCGTTCCATTCTTCCATTCGGTCGGCATCCCATCTTTCTCGCTATTTCTCCATTAATTTGTGTCTGTCCATTGCGCTACCTTTCGCCTCATCTTATGGTTGCCAGTTGCCATTTGCCTCATTTTGCCAGGTGTTTTTCATTTATGTCTCTATTTCCATTGTTGTGTTTCTCCAGTGCTGGTGCCGATTCTCATTGTTTGTTGGGTTGTTTCCGTCCATTTTTGTTTTTTGTGTGGTTATGGGTTTTGCTTTTCCGCATTCCATTGCCAGTGCGCATGCTTGTCATTTCCATTTCCTATGGGGGGGTACTCTATCATTGCCAATGTCCATTCCTCCCGCATGGCTTTCATTTCTTTATGGCCATCCATTGTGGTTTCCTATTCTATCTCGTGGCATGTTCGAATCCAGTCCATTGTTTCTTTGTTTGGTGTGAGATGTTTCTGCGATGCGCGCATTTAGTATATGTTTGTTGGTGTCCGATTTTGGGTGTCGACTTTTCTTATTGTTCTTCTATTGCGAGTCTTTGAACTAATATTTGGCGTAACTTGCATAGTATTATCGGGCTTTTGCCTGGGTTTGTTTATTGTGGTGATGTTTCTAAATGAGGTTGGATTAAACAGGAAGGTTTAATTGTTGTAGGTTCCGCACGGCTCTTTCAAGAGATCTTTTTGGTAGTTCTTAAGTTAATGTATAGTGTATCTCTAGTTGTAGTGTGAGAAGCGTGTCATCGGAGAATGCGAGCGTATAGCATTTTGTGGTGGAGTTCGATGATGATATAGGACTATTATAGATAGAGTAGGGTGCTTCAAGCGGCTGTGATAGGCTTTGAGTTACGGTAATATTTTAGTTCTCGACTTAGATCGTGTTGTAGGTGAGGTTAGAGTGCTGATGTTGGTCTACCTCATTGGCTGTATGCTGGGTCTTTAATCTCTCTGAAAGAGGGCGTCTCACATCTATTTCATCTTCATGTGTTGGTTGGTTTGTTTTGAATATGTCTAGAAGGGCAATTTCTTTTGCCTCCTTTTCTGACTAGATGCTGTGGGACCATGTTTTTGTATTTTGTCTGTCACTTTCCATTTCGCGGTTGGTTGTGTTGTGTTTGTTTTTGCTTTGTCTTTTTTATATTGCTTTGCAGCACCGATACAATCAATACAGGGACCCCAGTTCTTTGAAAGGTTACTGGAAATATGGTTGCTACTTGCTGAGCGTGGTGTAATTGTGGCTGGTGGGCTAATCGATCGTTTGGGGCGCGCTATGGTGGAGGGTACCTTTTGTTTTTCTGCCTTGAGCTAGCCTGAGCTTGCCAACGCACCCTCATCCGTGTCTTCTGATCTTGCGCTTTGTAGGTGACCGGCCCAGATCCCCTCCGTAGTGCCGGAGTGCCTCAGATGAGTGTCTAGTCAATGTGTACGGGGTGCAAGGTGGGGGGTGCCCGGTGGCCAGTTGGAGGCTGGTCAGCTGGCTGACAGCCAATTTCAGTGGTGCACTACCAAATTGTCTTCCTAGGCTGGTGGGGAGGCTCCTAAAA